AGAAGACGAAAAATCATATGATAGAATTAATTTCAATTATTTGTCCACTTAGTAGCACTCATAACGCAATAATGTATATGGGCTCTTGCAGAAGTAGCTACTTACCTCATCCGGTCCATGTGTTTAATGTGATACATTGTCTGAGAATTATTAGTTAGGACGAAAATTCTAATTCATTTGTTCTACTTCACATATTAATTGAGGAAGTTTATAACAAAACAATTAATACGAAATATTGCATGCAATGGAACAGAACTTTGATTAAAACTCGCCTAGATCCCAATGCACAATATAGCCGAACCTGCTCCTCCTGACTCCCTTCATCAATTGGACCACCAACCTAGTTACCTGATATAAAAAAATTATCCACAATCAGTAGAAGTAGAGAACTAATTTTGACAAACTTTATGGTTCATTTTTATATAATTTACATTCGATATACCTGGATGCACGACAAATAAATCTCGTATAATCGTGAGCAGCACCCGGGCCCCGGCAATCTAATATAATTTTCTGTATCAGCTCCATCTGATGTAAGAGTGTTGATTTGTTCAAATTTATGCATGTCAAATCGTCAAACAAAAAACCTGCTCCTTGCTCCTTGCATTGACAAAAGAGAGAACAAAAATTGAGTATATTTAGCAAAAATTGTAACGATGAGATCAATATATACAAATACCAACTCAATATTGTCCAACCAAGAAATTTACTTAACATACCCTCATATGATGTTATGTCAACTTTTGATCACATTACTTTAAACTTGTTGCTCAATGTGCACAAGACAAATTTCAAATAAATAATGGCCTAAATAGATGCTAACTAAGGACAACCAAGAAATTTACTTAACATACCCTCATATGATGTTATGTATAATTCATGCACATCATAGCAAATAATATTTTTCCTATTAAGCAACAATAAAGATATTACAAAGAAAAAAATAAACATAAATAAATAACACTCTTGAACCTAAATATATGGTACCAAAGAACAAAATTCAATACATACCGACCTTTTTGAGTAGAAGTTTCTTCCCATTGAAATCAATTTTCTCGTTCAGTTCCCACCTGTAATGTTTTGTGTTCTCCAAATCCAAATAGTATTACTTGATCAAAATAAGACGTGCCATACGAATTAAGTAAATAACTTGAAGAAATAACTAACAAAGTTTTCTCACCTCGAGTTAGCACCAAAAGCAGCACCATAGACCAAAATTTTCTTAGGTACACAACAACGAATGACATACCTGAAATAAGAATCCATTAGTTTCTAAAGCTTCACTTTCGATCACATTACTTTAAACTTGTTGCTCAATGTGCATAAGACAAATTTCAAATAATTGATGACTCGGATTGATGCTAATTATGAACATTAAACTAGAAGCCAACGTTACTTGTTGTCACATTTTCTTCCAAAAACTGTAGCAGGCCGTACGCTTATCCAAATTGGGAAAATAATATACCAAATAAAATTTCACAACTTTATCTACAATTTTTATGAAGATACCAACCGCAAATTACTAAGATAACACAGCAATAACAGCCCGAAGAGATGAATACACAAAACTGTCAGAATTGTTTTGGACAAACTTGTTTGCTGTCACAGCTTCTTTGAAAAATCATAATAATTTGTAGAGTTATCCAAATTGACCAAATAATATACCAAATCAAACCTGGCAACTCAATATACAAAACTTCAGAAGACACATAGCCTAAATTATTACTCCAACATAACAAAAACAGCTCCGTAAGATGATTAGGCAAAACTGCCCTGTTTCTTGACAGATTCACTGTCGTCTGATTCCGACCCCTAAAAGGCTATAACACGTGCTCGAATTTGAAAAAATTAAACACTTACTCTTAGTTTTCGAGGTCCTCTACGACTTTTGAGAAGGAATTATTCCCAAATTCACACTCCAAACCCTTCGATTTTGGCTCTGAAACAGGTGCGGTAGCAGATTTTATTTCCCTTAGGGTTCCGGCGAGCAGGCTGAATTTCACACCAAATTTCGGCGACCACCGCCGAATAAAACCGCCGAGCACCACCATCAATGGGAAGCTAACTTCTCGAGCTTTGTAACGGTACCTTTTATCATCAATAATCCACCGTTAAGACCTCCGTTCATTTAATTCTTTGAAGAGCCAAAAGCTGAACTCCAGATTACGGCCACCATCGGCGACCTCCGCCGGAAATCACCAACTCCCGTGTACATCTGAAATCCAATTATTCCAACGGTGGGTCCCAGGGTTCGCCGGAACGGAACGGGAACGGTGCCCTCCGTTCCGGAATCCCTAACCAAACCGATTTTTGCACTGTGACGCGTTGAAACACCGGGATAGCGGCGGGACGGGCGAGATGGAACCACAGAACGGGCCTGTCGCGGCTGGAACGGGTTGGAGCGGCCGAAACGGTAGAAAAAATAATTGGAGGAAAAGAGGAAAAGAGGAAGACGGGGAGGCCTAGTCGTGGTCTGATGGACACCTAAATCTGAGTCAAGTTTTTTAAGTTTCCAAAATTTGCAATCTAGTCCTTATTGCTTTTTATTTCTCTTAAAGTAAAGAAATATTTTTATAGCTTACAATTTCACCCTCTATTTATACTTCTCAAGGTTTAAAAAATTGTTCTAAAATTAAGATTAGAGTTTTAATGATAATTTGTATAGTATTCTACTATAATATTAATATTAAAACTTATTTGATATTAATTATATTTTTCGTATGTTTATTATAATTTATCCGTTCCTGCCGTGACGCGATCGCGACGCAGTCTTTCCATTATTTGAAAGAAATGCGTGTAACGAAAGAATGAGAATTGCCTTTGTTTTTCCATTGTTTGCATTTTCTCCCTCCATCTTTTTTTCTTTTCTTAATTTGTTTAAAAATTAAATTACTACATAATCGATTAGATTTCCATAAGTAGTTTCATAGCAATCAAATTAAAGTGGTTACTAGGAACTCAATTAGATGGTTGTTAATAATTAAATTAAAGACTTGTAGCAACTGTCAAAAAAATTGATGTTAAATTGGTCGCTATTGACACTAAATTATAGTGACCATAAAAATTGTCGCTACAAACTTTAACTTTAGTTGCTACAAGATGTCTAATTATTAGTGACCACTTATAGCTACCAAATATTCGTCGGTCGCAAAAGGATTTACTCCTTCCGATTTTTGCTACCAAATAC